ACAAAGTCTATGGTACGCTTAAAGCATATAGACAAATCGGTTTCAAATAAAACTTCTTGATAAAGAAGATGAGCAAATGATCTAAATGGTCATAATAAAGGAGGCAAGTGATCTAGAAGATCACATGACATAACACTTCATAAAATCTCATGAGAGATTCAGGTACCTGAATATATGAATGAAGAGATCTCTATGTTATGTCTTAATGAAAAATAAGGGGTTGGAACCGATATAAAATATTTGTCGACGACATCTATGATAGCGCTAAATATATATGAGGATCTTCTGGAGAAACAATTTTGAATATAATTGATTTCATATGAAAGACATGTAGTTTTGGACATGCAGTTCAAACACTTGAAAGTATAAAGTCAATGATATGTGCAATCAGTTTTCGATATCTTATTTGTCTAGCATGACATGAAAACTTGATATGCATCTAATTAAAGTCTATTATATGACTTATATGACTTAACTTATATGCCAATCCTTGAAGGATTTAAATCACTTAAAGCATATACAATTCTTGGTCCTGAAGTACCATATCATAAATGCAATTTGTGCACATATGTATCTTGCTATAACTATAAGCATGATAACGTGATAGCGAGAATACCTCTATGAAAATATTGAAAAGTCATTCCACGACATTATATGAAGACATTACATCTCTATCGAGAATGATGATTTCAAGGTGCAATATATTCATTCAAGTTAATATGGCTGATTTGTTTATCAAATATCTACCAATGATCTTTTGAAGATGGTGCACAAGATTGGAATGCAAAGGCTCAAGAATGTGAATTGATGCTCTCACCAGGGGGAGTTAATACGCGTTGTACTCTTTTTTCCCTTACAAGGTTTGTCCCACTGGGTTTTCCTTGCAAGGTTTTTAACGAGGCAACTAAAAGACGTATTGTTAGATATGTGTACTATTTTTCCTTCTCTAGAATTTTTTTCCCACTGGGTTTTATTTTAGTTAAGGTTTTAACGAGGCACATTATCTATTGAATAGACATTCAAGGGGGAGTGTTATAAATAGAATTGTATTTATGGTGAATGTCTATATTTAGAGAGATTCTAGGGTTCATTGCTTGGTGGCTAAGTCACCCTCTCCCTATAAATAGAGGATTCTATTCCATTGTAATTCATCCAATATCAATAAGAATTATCTCTTTCTACTTTTCTCTGCAATACTCGTGTTCTTCTTTTATTGTTTCATAACAAGTTTCACTAAGTAAATTTATTCTGGTTCTAAATTTTTCTTTCAGTCCTAAAAACCTTGAAAATGGTTAAATTTACCAAATTCAAAAGCATATCGACATACTGCTCCCACTAGTATATTATAACCCAATGCTTTTTTATTTATTTATTGAGTGAGTAAGATTCCAAAAATCAATAATAATGATAGTCAATTTTTTATTTTTGTCTTAGTTCGCTGGATGTTGCAGAGAAACTTTTTTTAGTTTAATATACCTTATCTATATTATAACAAAGAAAAAAAGGTATTAAAAATAAAGAAAGAAAGAAAGAAAGTAAAGACCAACTAGAAAAGGTATTAAAAAGTAAACCAATGAGAAATTAAGATTATGGGTAAGATCCAAAATAAATTGAACACAAATTTTATGGCTACGAAGAGGGATGGAAAAATGCGCGTGTCTTGAGAGAGATTAAAAATGATGAGAGTTGGTTTCAATAATATGAATAAGAGCTAAAAGAAAAAGAAAAAAAAAAAGAAAAAAAGAGAAGAAGAAGAAGAATCCATGTTCTTGAAATTTATCAAGAAATGCACAAAAGTTCAATAAGATTTAAATTAGTAAAGTTATAAAGGTATTGATAGGAAGGAAAAAAGGAAAATTTTACATGTTATAGTTAAATAATGCGCCATATTTATTATAAACCAAAATACTTTAAAAATATTACTCCCTCCATTTTAATTTATGTGAACCCATTTGACTGGACACAAAGTTTAAGAAAAGAGAGAATACTTTTGACCTTGTGGTGTAAAATGAATCACATATATTTTGTGTGGTTATAAATCATTGCATAAAAGTAAATTGTTTCCAAATAAGGAAGGGGATCATTCTTTTTGGCACGGACTAAAAAAGAAATAGGTTCACATAAAGTGAAACAGGAGGAGTACTATTTATAGCTACTTTTTATATTTAATAGCAACGTACAAATATATACAACTGAACCCTCAACTTTTCCCTCAACCCTCTCTCTCTTCTCCCTCAACTCTCTCTCCTTTTTTCCTCTCTCTTCGCCCTCGACAGTGAATTCCTCCATCTCTGTTATGTACAAGCAAGAATATACCTTTGTGAGTTTGTGTTCTTCGATATCTCAAACCCTATGGTTTAGACTTCCAAGAGAAACGCACTGAATATTTTGTATAACATCTACAGTAGGAAATTTGCAGAAGTTTTGGTTCGATACTGAGAGATCCGAACCGATCTAGCCGTGGTTTTGGGGGGTTTGGGTCAAAGTTGAGATCCAGCGTCAGCAAGGCAGCCATCCAGATCCGGCGACGTTATATTCAGATCCAGGCGATGGATAGCAACTTCGTGATTTCAGATTTGGTAGAGGGTGGTGATGGGTCTAGTTCGATGGTTGTGATTTGCAGAGACGACGGAGGGTGGGGATGTGTAGAGACGACAGAGGGTGGTGATTTGTTTGGCTGGAAGACACCATCTCCGGTGAATTTTCTTCTCTTCTTTGCTATTGAGTCACACACAATGACACAAATAAATTGTGTTTTGTGCAAATACACTGAAATTTGAGTGTATTTTGTATTTTTCAGTGCAAATACAATTTATTTTTTGTATTTTTGCCTGTATTTATGTATTCCGAAGGTTATTTTTGTGGCAGAGCCCTGTATTTTTTGAATTTTTGTTGTTTGAATACAACCGAATTGAATACAATGAAATTGAATACAATATAAAATAATTAAGAATGAATATAGCCGAATTGAATATATTGTATATAGCCGAGTTGAATAGAGCGGTATACACCATATTTTTTAATTTTTATTGTTTAAATACAACTGAATTCAATAAGTGGAATTGAATACAACGTAAAATATATAAGAATGAATACATCCGAATTGAATACAATATATACAATCGAATTGAATACAACGACATGCATCCCATGGCAAGCAATTTCTGAAAGTTCCCCTAAAAAAAAACCAATATGATAGTTGTGGGCTTTTCCTACGTTACAACTGATTTAAGGCTTTTCACTTTTTAAGCTTTTCTTATGTTTTGGGGTACGTCGGGTAGTTTAAGGTTTTGTGGCGACATGGTGGAATACTTTTGTACTGAGTGGGTAATTCTGTCCAAGCCCCAATTGAAGGGAGTTTTATAGCTTTACCACAAAAATTAAATTAATTACCCTTGTCTAACCATTGATTTTTCTACCCACCAAACTAATTACTCTTCCTATCCATTGCAGCTTTTGTGGGTAATTCTTTCTTTTCTTCTTCTTTTTTCTCGTTTTCTTTTTTATTTCTCTACTTTTCTTTTCTCCTTTTATTTTTTCTCATTTTTTTCTTTGTTCTTTTTTTTTTTGTTCATAATTTTTTTTCCAGAATCACATTATTTTTTATTTTTTATTCACCACAATCTGATTTTATACTCAATTTGGCTCGTTTCTTTTTATTTTTCTTTCCTTTTGTTTATTTTTTTAATTTCGTGTTCCTTTTCTAATTTCATTCAATTTTTTTTAGTTTAATTTTTTTTCATATTACTATTTTATGTCTTTGGACACCTACTTCTTATACAATGAATATTATTTTTATGGAACTCCATCAACAAAATTCATTTAAGAAAATATTTGCGAGGACCTAGTTGGAAAAATTAAAAAATAACTTATTTATTACGGTATACTGTTATATTTTATTGTATACTATAATATTACTATAACCATGACTTTAGCTTTGCACAATAGCACCTAGATGACTCAACAAATAGCAGTCAAAGTATATTGTTATGGTATATTGTATACTATTATAGCATAATATTGTAGTATGTTGCATATTATTACAGTATACTATTACAATATATTGTATACAATTACAGTATATTGTTGCAGCATAGCTATATACTCCTACGGTATATTGTATACAGTAACGGTATACTATTAGGTAACCGTATTCTTTTTCAATTATTACAGCATACCGTTGCAGTATATTGTATGCTGTAACAATATATTATTGCAATATAGCTATATACTCCTACAGCATATTGTATATCGTAGCGGTATACTATTTGGCAACTGTGTTCTTCGATTTCTAGCTGAAAAATTCGATCTTTATCACCTCAAATCAGCTCCAACTGCGAGCAAATTTCAGTATGAATTTCCAGAAGGTAATATAAGAAATATTTAATAACATCCACTTTGAATCAAACAAGAAATCTTCAAGATAAAACTTTTAAATTCAAGAGTTTCAAGCCCAACAATGGTGAATATTCAAATACACATAAACATTAAGATCCGGGAAGCTTACTCCAAAGTACTATAAGCAATATTTTATAGCACCCACATCGAATCAAAAAATAAATGTTCAAAATAAAATTTCAATGTCAAGAGCTTCAAGCTCAACAATGGTAGGTCTTCTTACACACACAAAAATCAGATCTAGTAAACTCAATATATTAAGTAATCATATATGCTACTTAAAATAAAGAAAGTCCAAATTATTTAGTTATTAGATTGTAATAGCTACTAAGTAACCTTGCAAAATTGAAGCTGGATATTTTAACATTCTGTACTTCAAATGTGAAAGAAAATAGCTAATGGGTGGGCCGGGTAAATAGTCTAGACCGCATAGGTAGAAAAATTAAATATCTTAGGCTTGAATATTAAAGGGTAGGTAGATGGGTATAAACTATAAAGTGAAAGCATTGGTGTGAAGGGTAAAATTGTAAATGGCACTTTTGGAATTGATATGGACACTCGATAGTAAAGAAAGCCTTCAGTAACTCTTAGATAAAAAAAAAAATCAACAAGATTGGCCAATGGAATGAAAGCATGTGTTTATCTGAAAAGCTAAAAGCAATCCTGTAAGTCCTCTGTTAGGGGAATTCAGTGGAGAGGATGGAGACATGTGAATATGGAGCTCTCATTGAGAAATTCACACTGCAACCAATTTGCTCTTCTTCAGAGCAACTCCCCTTAAATGGCTTAACCTTTGCCGTGAAAGACATGTAAGTCCTTTACAAAATTATCAGTTAGAAATTCAAGACTCTACTTTTGGTCTCATAATCTTTGATTTTCTTCTGTGGATAGTGAATTCAGTACTCAACATAGAGTTATTGGTAATAATGTGATACTATTAGATTTGATGTGGAAGGACATATCACTGGTTTTGGAAATCCAGACTGGGCCAAGACCCATTCTGCGGCAACATCTACTGCAACAACTGTGCTCGCTCTTTTGAAGGCTGGTGCTACTTGTATTGGTAAAACTGTCATGGATGAAATGGCTTACAGGTTATACTTTCAAATATTTCTTTTACTTCCTTCTGGTGTTTGTTTATTAATGAAATTTTTATCTAATTCTTTTTTCTTGTCTTTTGAAAGGAAGATAAAAAGTTAAGGTAATTGTCTTTTCTTAAAAGACTAGAAAAGTTAATCAATCAAGTTGAGACATAACTAAAAGGTTGAAATTGAGAAAATTACCTGCCCAAGAAAACTGTTTTGTGTCTGACCGACGCACATGTGGCAGCATACCCATGAAGAGAAAATTTCTGAGTGTTCATATAATACTGACCCCATTACTAGCTTGCTGAGTCTTTTAAGAGCCTAATTTACTTGGCAAACACTAGATGGAAATTTCTGCATAACACCACTGAAAAATCTGTAGTAGAAATCAAAAACTTCTGTGATATGATCACTATGTACTACAGTATTTGTTTCCTGGACAATTATTGTAACTATAACTCTTATCACTCCACTTTTATCTTGTTTAGATAATTGTTCCTACATCTGCTTCCATCTGCCACGGGAATATTATGTGATAGGAGGATATGTACCAAAGTGAATGACAAGTTTTACAGAATGTGCGAGACCAGAAACACTACGTGAGAGCGAATGTTGGTCTCTAAGGTCCACCATTTCTACGAGATGAGTTTATAGAAATGCAGTTGTTAAGATGCATGTGCGGTAATAAAAGATTAGATAAAATTAGAAATGATCACATCTAACAATATGTGCAAGTAGCACATTTGGAGGAAACGTTGAGAAAGTTGTCTAAAATGGTTTGTCTTGCTTATTGATCACGCCCAACTATGCCTTATAAAAAGAACTAAGCGGTCTCTTCAAATATAATCCGATCTAAGAGTTCGGAGTTGAATCACACAGAGAACTAAGGTTTTGTTGTAACTCTTAAGTATCACTAAGAAGACAAACTCAAATAATTTTTAAGATGTAAATATCAATATTCTTTTGTCTAACTAATTAATTAACAAATTAAAATAGTAAATTAACAACTAAAGATACTAAGGTTAGAGACAAGATTAAGGAGAGGTCTAGGGTTATGATTTCCCCAATCGTCGGAATTCTGCCCGCTACGTTTCCTATAAATTCGCCGAAGTATTCTTTACCGATCGTGAGCGCTTCAGGTGTCGTAATTATCTTTCGACCAACAACCACAATTTACTAGACATATTCTCTCGAACTACACTAGCTGGCACTAGTTCATCGCTCACTAAGATCACACCAAGGTTTCGTTATTTCTAGTATTACCTTTAAACCCTCTGTATTGATTTCTCACATACGTTAGGAGTGATGTTGTTCAACAGCTACCTAAATGTGTACCCTTTTCCAAGCAATATACACTAAATAGGCACAATCAATTGATGGTCATTCAATCAACAACAACAAACACGTAGTTGAACAAGTAGAGCAATCCAACAGCTTAATTATATAAAAATATAGCTGGAAGCCTGGAACCATAGTCATGCTAACAATCATGTTAATAATCGAAATCATTAAAATCAGTGTTATCAAAGGCGCGCGTAAAGCGCGCTTAAGCCCTGAAGCAAGGCCCAAAACATGTTGAGCGCTTCGCCTCGCTTAGCAGGCGCTTCAGTGTTGTCATCAAGGCTCTAAGGCATACTTTTCCTTGTCAATGAGCGTAATTCGGAAGAGGCGACACTAAACAATTGATATTTTACTTTATCGTAATTATTCTTTAATTTTTTGTCCATATATTTGGTGGTATTCACGTTTATAGATATTAGTCTTGAACTACACATACATATCTGTAGTTTTTCTCCGTTTGTGCCTTTCTTCGTTAAAGCCAACACTTTATTTGCGCTTTGCGCTTAAAGCCCCAACAGACCTTAGAGCTTTTTTGCGCTTTGTGCCTTTGATAACACTGATTAAAATACAGATTAATGAAGGAAAGCCTTGACGTAGCTGGTAAAGTTGTTGCCATGTGACCAGGAAGTCACGGGTTCGAGCCGTGGAAATAGCCTCTTGCAGAAATACTGGGTAAGACTGCATACAATAGATCCTCGTGGTCCGGCCCTTCCCCGGACCCCGCGCATAGCGGGAGCTTAGTGCACCGGGTTGCCTTTTTATTTTATTTTATTAAAATACAGATTAAGGAAGAACAGAGAGAAAACTCTGGTGATTCTTTGCTTCCAAGTGTTTCCGTAGCCTTCTTGCCTCTCCAATAATGTCTCCCTCTAAAAAATAGGTTTAGAAGCCCTTTTATACATGTTGGGGGGCATGTAGGGTCGAAACTACCAAGTCCTAACCGAAATAGGAAAAGCTTCCCGCTTTGGCATTTTGAATCGCGCCTGGCGCATAGGCGCCCAACTCGGTGTAGTGCTTTCTTTTGCGTTTTGAATTGTGTCTGGCTCAAACCTGGACGCCAAAAAATCATACTCCTCTAAATTCTTTCATTTTAGCTTCAATTTATGCACAATCCTTCCATATCACCTTTGATAAATTCCTACACAAATAAATACCAAAATTAAGCTTGAGTCACAACTATTCACACTACAGTTAACAAGATCGAGGCATAATGTAAGGCAATTTACATGTAAAAATATGAATTTTTAGCCTAACATCACTCAGCCATCTAAATCCTCCACTTCGTAGGTGTGACACCATGATAATTGAAGGTGTTAAGGGAAGAGATAGACCTAAAATCATGTGGAGGAAAATTATCTCAACAGACCTACAATTTCTTGAAAACCACGTGGACCTAATGAAGAACATAGCACAACAGCAATAAAGTTTCTTAGAGGCGATACCAACTAGTTAGGGTTAAAGTTAGTCGTTATTGCTTCACACTAGTCTGGTGTTTGAGGGAGCCTTTCAAGTTTGGTTAGAGACTGTATAACGATGTAGGGATAGGTGTGAGATTTGGTGAATCCTGATTCGTCCCCAAAGACATTGATGACTAGTAAAATTAACTGGAACCAAATAGCACGGAATAGATTTAGAGGATTTATATTGTCGAACCCAACTAGTTTAAGACTGAGGCATAATGTTGTTCTTGTTGTTGTATCCTCTATTGGACAAAGAATTTTAAGATCATAACTGTGAAGATTTCTCTCAACGTTGTCGATTGCATAGTCGCTTCAAACTGATGTTTGTTTTCTGCATTTCAAAGAGTCATAATAAATATATTCAGAAGCTTTTGTCAGGCAAGTGAACCTATTGTCTTTCTTTGGCAGCATAAATGGTGAAAATGTTCATTATGGCACGCCTGTGAATCCTGTTTCACCAGATCGGGTACCTGGAGGGTCTTCAAGTGGATCTGCAGTTGCAGTCGGTGCAAAACTTGTAGATTTCTCCTTAGGTGAACTTTTATAGATACTGTGACAACTGCTTTGCTTAATTCATAAACTGATGGTTAATTACATCTTAAATGAGATGTTCATCGATTGTAGGGACTGACACTGGAGGAAGTGTTAGAGTTCCTGCATCATATTGTGGAATTTATGGTATTCGACCTTCTCATGGAGTTGTTTCAACTGTCGGAGTCACACCTATGGCACAAAGCTTTGATACAGTGGGTGAGAAATTCAAAAGTTCTTTTTCGGTATAAACCTGAATTATCATTATTTTCTTTTTCACCAAATAAGAAAAAGAAGTTGGTGCATTCCCACCTCTCATTCCCTCCATCATCCAATGTGTAGAAGCTAATCCAGTGCATTACTATTTAATACATTAATAATTTACCTTCTCAAGTTTAGCTTTGCTGGAAACAAGTCCTATAAATATTTGATCTGGCAAGTCCAGGCTGACTTAATCTACTTTCTCAGGGTGGTTTGCAAGGGATCCTCTGATCTTAAAGCAAGTTGGAAGAGTCCTACTTCAATCTCCCCAAATGAATTCCGTGCGTCCAACTAACATTATCATTGCAGAAGACTGTTTTAAGCTCCTGGATTCCAAGAGTAACCAATTGATTGAAGTACTTGTTAACTCAGTGGAGAAGTTATATGGAAGTAAGTCGTATTTACTACCTTATCTGTGAGATTATTTTTCTTTTCCTTCGTAAAGTCATCTTTTGGAATCATATATCGTTTGGTATAATCGGTAATTTTGTCCAAAGAGTGAAGTGATTACAATAAAACAGCAAGTTCCTCCAATAGTTGGGAAGATGTGGGGATTGAGATGTCTTCTAATAGAAAGGTCAGTTGGACAATGGAATCTAAAGCTCGTTTCAATTTAAATAATTGGACTAACCTATGCAGGTCATATGATTAAATACGTGAGTGTCGGGGATTACATTGAGGGAAATGTTCCAAGTTTGAAGAAATTCATGACGCCTGGAACTGGCAATGATGAATCTTACATTCCATCCTTGCTAGGTCTCTCAGCTGCCATGCGGTTGCTTCAAAGGTGCAGAATTATGAAGAAAGCTGCTTCAGTTTTTGTTGGCGCATTTTCTTTCTTTCTTTTGTTCATTTCCTCTTCCAACAGACTAGTACGATCCATGAAACAGCTTAGTAGTATAGCATGCAATCTGTCAGATTTCTTGTGCTCTTCTTGAGGTTGCCTTGCTCTGCTACTTTGATAACAGGTATGAATTCAAGGAGAATCATGGAGAATGGGTTAGTACAGTCAAGCCTAGTTTAGGTCCAGGAATAGCAGAACGCGTATGGGAAGCACTGAAGGCCACAGATGAAAATATTGATGTGTGCCACTCTGTGAAGGCTGAGCTTCGAGCAGCTCTCACTGCTCTCCTTGGGGTACTTAACCATCCTCCGCCCGTATATGTTGTTGCTTAAGTGTATTCCACTGTATTACTTATGCTTTATTCTTAGACAGCATATTGATATAGAAGTCTATGCTAATTTAGTCCAGCTTTTATGTTTACGATTCTCTTTCTAAAGAAGAATATGCCTCACTCTGCTAAATGAATGAGGTTCAGAACTAAAGGTGATACGCAACTTGAAGGATGGTCAAATATGATACCTCACCTCATACTAGACACACCCTCTCAGACCTTTTGTCATCTGATGTTCAATTGACTGCACTAAGTCAATGCTTGATTTGTTAATCATCCACATAGATGACTCCATGTTTTGTGGACGGAAGTTTCATAGTTTGGAAGTGATTTTAGTCCGATTATCTAAGTCCTCCGTCTCTATTCCTTTTTTGGGAAGTCTGCATTAAGATTAACCTTTCGATATTAGGAAATGAAACATAGTGTATGTTTGAAAACTAGTTGTTGAATGACTCACTGCTTTAAGGTGGTTTTTGATTGCTGTATGTGTAGGATTCTGGTATACTTGCAATCCCAACTGTTCCTGGACCTCCACCAAAACTAAGAAGTGAGACAAGTGCATTGGAAGGATTTCGTGTTAAAGCTTTTAGTCTGTTATCAATTGCTGGAGTATCTGGATTTTGCCAGGTTTATTATCTTTAATATTCTAGACTGAATATGTAAAAAACAGAGAGAAATCCAACATGAATGTGCTGACATGTCCAAAATTTGTTTGATCAACAAACAGGTCAGCATACCTCTGGGGATGCAAGACAATCTTCCTATATCAGTTTCTTTACTGGGAAAACATGGTTCAGACTGGTTGCTGCTAGATGCTGTTGAGGCTATTCACAATGTTCTCAAGATTTAACTGTGAAAATTTGTATCAAAATGTAACTTACAGCTCTTGTTTCATGTTAATTTAATTTACGTGCAACACTTTCCATTTTAGCATATCTTTCTATATTATGAACAATCTTAATTTAAAATTTCTCATTTTATCCATGATAAGATTATTTATAACCACATAATTATAAATGACTTGTGTTAGACAACAAGTTTTAAAAGCGTTTTATTTTTTAATTTCATGGCCTATCAAACTGCGTCACAAAAAATGGGTGACAGAGTAATTCTTTCATATTATGTGATCGGACCATAATCTATTCTTCTTTTAGTGATTTTTAATATAAATCTATTATCCGAGCCTAAACGAAGGGCTTTAGTTGAACTCAAACGTAGTATTTTAGGTCTATCACGTACGACCTGTACCAATTCCATCATAAAAATAAATATCATAATTAAATAGCTGATTAATTGTATATGATGTTTGACTCAAAAGTTGTTTAACACTTTCTAAGCAAATCAATCAATATAGATGAGGGGGTAAATCGTAACCGAAGATAATAAACCCTAGGATGATCTTCGTGATTGATTCAGATAACAATAATACAAATCGGAGAGAGGGAGAAGATGATAATCTTAGAGAGATGAGAGAGAGAGATAATACTAGAGAAACGAGAGAACTTGTATTTTCAATAAAATGGATCGGGTCCCCTTTACAAAGCTCAGACCCCCTATATATAAGAGAGGATCCCTATTTAAATATTAAAAGACGGAAATAAAGTACATGCTATAGAGGGGCCGAGGTGATTATGAAGTCGTCCCTCTAGCTGGACTCACATATATTCGGCCGGTCGTGCTGGCTTAGGGACGTGGTTGGTCAAATTCGACCCCATACAGTTAGTCCCTCCGCTCGTCGGGGTCGCAGCGAGATGCGTCCTCGATGGGCGGAATCGGTACCTCCGTTCTGGGAGAGTTTGACTTTGTCAAAGAATTGTGACGTGACAGGCAGGGGACAGTAATCATGATTGTCAGAGCGTCGAAGCGAAACGCCTTTCCCCGTGTGACGTCAGCGTTCGTATGCGTCATCATTATGCGTATTCTCAAGGCAGGAAATCAGAAGCTTTTGGCGCTTGGTTTCCCGCGCCAACTCGACGTCTGCCTCTCTTCGATTCTGGCGCCACCCAACCCTATAAATAGGAGAAGGGTTTAACCTGATTCAAACTTTGGTCATTTGTAAGAAAATTCCAACCCTTCAGTGTATATTTTCACATTCTGGTGCATTTTCCTTCGATCAAAAATCTCCTTGTTCTTTGTTGGGTTTTGCATAACTTTTTCTTCACCGAGATCATGCCTAAACCTCGCCGAAGCGACAAGAGGGTCCCGGCGGTTGCCCCATTGAACGTGCCGCCACCTTCCGATGGTGGAGAGGGGGAGGAGGAAGAGGACATCAGTCCTCTTACGGTGGAAGCGCTGCTGCCCAAACGTACCTTATCTCGAAGTGACTTCAGTAAGGACTCTCCCACTCCGGCTCCAGAGTTTTCCGAATCGTTGCAAAATCACTTGGATGACCTCCGCGTGAAATATGGCATACCTGCCCACGTAGAAATGGTTCCGACGGGGAGGGATCATGTGGATGTTCATAGGCCAGGGTATTGTACTTTTTATGAGTACCCCTTTTCGATTGGTTACAGCCTCGCTCTTTTCCCTTTGGCGAAGGAGTTATGCCGGTTCTATAATGTGTGTCCGGCTCAACTTACGCCGTATACTCTGAAGGTGCTTTGGCTACTGACCAAGTACGCGGAATTGGCCGGATGTGAAGTCACGGTCCACCACCTCCTACAACTGTTCAGTGCCTGCTATCTAAGAGGGACCATGGTACATTTGCGAGACCATGGTACGAAGGGATTGGTGGTCAAAACCGACGACCGGGCGAGTCGTGGGTTCTGGCGCAAATATTTTTTCATTAGGACCGAGCACGTGGTCTCTAATCCCGCCGGATTCCCAGAGAGGTGGAATTCGAAAGGTAAGTATTGCAGTTAGTTAAATTCCTTGTTACTCGTGACTGTTGCAATTCTAACCTTTGTATTGCAGCTATGGCTCATCCGCCCCGGCCCGTTGCCAATCTCAGGAGATGGGTTGCCGGCTTGCTTCCCAACACGGAAGAGACCCGCTTGGCCTGCCTTTATGCAGCGTTATGGCCCTAAAGTCTCTTCAGGTAGATTTCCGATTTTTGCTTTGTACATTCTGCAACCCTGCTCACTTCTTTTCATGGTGATAGGTCGAGGCGCTTCTAGGAAGAGGGCGGCAGTCCCTACTCTCAAGCGATCCGACGTTGCCTCGGACGCTCATGATATATTAGTCGAGTCTGTCCGAGAGGATCTCTCTCCAGCTCCTTTACAGGGGGCTACATCTACGACCATGGTTATGTGGGAGTCGGCATCGTTGGCGCCGACTCTGCAACCCGTGGATGAACCCTTTGATGGCGAGGAATCGCTAGAAAGAAAACGGAGGAGACTTGAGAAGGGCAAGGGGGTGGCCACCGAAGCCGGAGGAAGTGAAGTGCCTCGGCCGACGCACAGACCTTCATTCATGGCCGACGCCATTCTTTCTGGGAGGTCGGCTCAACAGAGGAGTGCCGCTCCCAATGTTAGTTCCGCGCGTGCCATCGAGGGAGGGTCATCGACCAACGTCGAGGGACCTGGCGAGGAAGCGGAGAAATCGGACTCCGACGTCGCTCAGGGGGATGTTGACGAGTTTGTTGGTGGCCTTGCCCACGTTGAGATGACGACGGAGGGGTCTGACCGTCGTATTACGATTCCGGCGGCTTACAACTTGCTTTTGAACAGCGAGCAGGCTTCTTCGGCCCTTACCCTGCTGTGTGCCGCCTCCGAGAGCAAGACGCTCAGTACGATGGATGATGCGGAGCTATCACGAAGGGTTTCCGGCATGGCTTTGCAGGTAATCCTTATTCCCTTTCTCCCTTCTGCGCATTGTAAGGCTGACTTGAGGCGTGCTTATTTCTGCTTTTCTTTTTAGACCCTTGTTTTGGAGGTGGAGAGGGGACGCGGTGAGCAAAAACGGACGGCCCTATACAAGAAGATGCTGAAGAAGCACCGAAAGTACCGCTCTAAGCACCGAGCGGTGGTTGAACGGGGGCAGTCCCAGTTGGACCGCAGGGGAGTTGAGCTGGAGGAGGCGGATAGCGAGCTGATGAAGGTCGTGGCCCGTAACAGTGAGTTGGAGGAGCTTCTTAGGGTGAAAGATGACGAGCTTGAGTTGAGTCATGGGGTGGCAGCGGAGAACGTCGACCTGCAGCGGAGGGTGGCGGATCTGACCGCCGAGCTCGATGCCAGGATGGCGGATATCAATGGACTTTCTCGGCCTTCCTCATCTCGTCCCTCGCCTGGTCGGAGTATGCGTCGTAGTGCGCATGAAATGTGGATTTTTGCGGAGGCTAAGCTCGACGTGTACAGAGAGCTTCATGCTGCGGACCGGGCGACAGAGGAGGAAGTTCAGGCACGGCGAAGCGAGGCTCGCGCTGCTTGTGAAGCTTGTGGTTATTACCCCGACTCTCCCGATGGGGAGGGGCCTGCTTCCGAAGACGTTAACCGGCTCGACTCCAGTTCCTGGTACGATGACGTTTACCTCCCTGGGGGTGACGGGCAGCTATAAACTTGTAATGTAAATTTTTGGCTTGTATAGTGTATTGGAGCTCGTCTGCGGGGGCGAATGTATATATATTTTTGTTGTAATATAAATTTTACTTTGTTGCTTCGTCTATTTGTTGCCTTCCCTTTCTTGGGTTTTCTTTTGTAATGCTTAGCCTCCGTAGAGGTTGTTTTTCTCGTTCGTCAAAGGGTCGTGCCGTGGTTCGAACGAGGTCGAAACGATGTCGATGGCCTTGGCCATTAGGATGTTGATTCAACTGTCGTCGAAGTAGTATCCGTCGTGGTTCGAACCGATGTCGATGGCCTTGGCCATTAGGATGTTGCTTCGACTGTCGTCGAAGTAGTATCCGTCGTGGTTCGAGCGAGGTCGAACCCATGTCGATGGCCTTGGCCATTAGGATGTTGCTTCGACTGTCGTCGAAGTAGTATCCGTCGTGGTTCGAACGAGGTCAAACCGATGTCGATGGCCTTGGCCATTAAGATGTTGCTTCGACTGTCGTCGAAGTAGTATCCGTCGTGGTTCGAGCGAGGTCGAACACGATGTCGATGGCCTTGGCCATTAAGATGTTGCTTCGACTGTCGTCGAAGTAGTATCCGTCGTGGTTCGAGCGAGGCCGAACCGATGTCGATGGCCTTGGCCATTAAGATGTTGCTTCGACTGTCGTCGAAGTAGTATCCGTCGTGGTTCGAGCGAGGTCGAACCAATGTCGATGGCCTTGGCCATTAAGATGTTGCTTCGACTGTCGTCGAAGTAGTATCCGTCGTGGAATGAGGATTAACTCTTGTTCGTGTAATGGAGATTAACCCTTGCTCGTGTAATGGAGATTAATTCTTATTTCATTCAGTGGAGATTTCTATTCATTCAATGGAGAGTTCTGTTCATTCAATGGTGAATTCTGTTCATACAATGGAGACCTGTTCATACAATGGAGAATAACTAGTGTAGTCCCTTTACTATATTGGCCTGCGGACCGTGTCGATTGGCCGATATGGTGAACTTGTGCTCCTGTTCCACCAGGTATCCCCTTTGCCGCCTCGTTAAAAACCTCCCCGAGAAAACCCAATTGGGACAAAACTCGGGTCAGGGTAAAGAGTACGACTTAGGAGATTCCCTTCAGAAGTGGAAGTATTTGAGGTGGGCGACGTTCCAATTATTTTGGAGTGGTTTTCCCTCCATCGTTTCTAGTTGGAATGCTCCTTTATTCGCCGCTGCTATGATTTTGTATGGTCCGTCCCAGTTGGTCCCCAATTTTCCTTCATTCGGGTCTTCGATGCCAGTGTTTTGGCTTTGAGGACGTAGTCGCCAACTTTGAGCAATTTTACTATGGCTTTCTTGTTGTAATATCTTTCTGCCTGCTGTTTTTGGGCTGTCATTCTTATATGGGCCATGTCTCTTCGTTCTTCGGCTTCGTCTAGATCTTGTAACCTGCTTTCGTCGTTGTCTGCTCCGCTGGTATGGGAATATCTCAGGCTTGGTTCTCCG